CATTCTTCCCCCTTGGGTAATTCCTATCCTCTTAAGACACAGCCAGGTGGACCACCCGCAGATAGTCTCCTGGGGCGGGTAGGGGGGAGATGGGAAGGGCTTGTCTGGGTTCAGGGCCCCAACTCTGCTCTGTTACTGTCACCTCTACCCTCCTGCCTCATGTGCTTGTGATGCTGTGCTGGATGACAGTTTCCTTCACACCCCTGCTCTACTGGCTGTTACCTGCCTGAGTCTTGCCTGTATAGGTTGGAGGTGAGAGATGATCTTACAAGATGCTCATTTTCAAGGGAGGGAAAGGAAGAATATTTTCCCAGGTGACCAAGCCTGAGAGGCAGGTGGTCTCAGGAGCTGGAAACTGAGCGGAGGGTGGACAGGCTGGGCCAGTCAAGACAATTAAATATTCTCTACCAGTGCCCATAGATGGCACTAGAGCCTTGAAGATCCAGCCACCACTGGGCACTCCAGGGTTGAGGGAGCTGGACAGTGACTCACTCTCCGTGGCTGATGGAAGGCTCCCCACCATGGAGCAGAGCAGTCTGGGTGGTTCTAGGGCAGCCAGCAGAGGCTACCACCCATCAGGGACCTCTTCTGATGGTAAAAGCAGTGGGTGAGGTGAAGAATTCAGAGTGGGAGGGAGGCAGAGGAGAAAGAGAGACATAGAGGCAGAGAGAGGAAGGGTAAGAGCATCAAGGCTACAACTAGAGAACAGGATCAAGAAGGCAAGGGACACAGGTGGAGTAGCAGGACCTTCAGGGCTGAGATCAAGGGGATGCAGAGAAGCATCAGTGGCAGGTAAACTCAAAAGGGAGGAGGCCCCGAGCAAATCAGGAGGTAAGCTGGCTGATGAGGCAGGCACACCTCCCCAGTTCCCCCACAGGACCCAGAAGATGCACACCATTCCTTCTGGATCTTTTATTGACGTATAGAAAATGTGTTTAAAAAAGGAACTATACAGAAGCTAAAAGCAATCAGGACTAAAAATACTGGTTAACAATGGTTAACAAGCGGAGATTCCGGTCTTTGAGCTACAGTGCCATGAAAGGAGTCAGGAGGTTGGCTTCCCCCCTCCTGTCCTCTGTTGATACTTTTATTCCAGTCTAGTACAGTGTACATCGTCTCAGGAGTGTGTACTCCATTTTCTTCTTGTTTTTGTTTTTGCCTTCCTTCTAGTCTTTCTTTTAAGTAAATGCTTTTCCCCAGCACAATGTAACTACAAAGGCAGTAAATTGGTCGGTGTTATTTATATATATATTTTTTTTACCTGAAAAGGCCGTTAAAGGTTAAAATGACAAACTCAAATTCAGGGGGACTGGAGGATTCAGTGTTTATGGGTTCTGAGAACAACAATCTAGAGACCACCGAGGTGGGTTTCAGCTGCCCGGGCCCAATGTAACAGCTTCCTCGAAGTCACAGCGACTTGCCCAGGGTACCTAGGAGTTCCTATGGACCTGGAGCACATCCGAGGTCAGGATGGCTGGATGCCTGTGTGTGTGCAGGATGGGAAGGAGGAGACTGGTGTTAACAGTAACCCATCTGGATTCTGAACTCTGAGTCTGTGGGACTGTGGTGTGAGTCTAGAGGGCATGGGTGGGGAAACGGGGTTCAGTAGGGGGGCTCTTACTTGGCTGACAGTTTTGTAGAAAACTTGGCATTTATGGCATCTAACACAGAGTCATGTCAGCACCCTCAGCAGCCTCCACATGGAAGAGGACCATGAAATGTAGAGTTCTTTCTTGGGGAAATCTATTCCTTTATGGATAAGTGGCATTCAATTAAGAGGAAGGGATTCATTTCTGGATTTTGGGCCTGACAGCCAAAAATATCATTTACCCAGTACAAATTTCCTTCTTAATTCCTCAGTGCAGCCAAGAGAGCTGAGATTGTGCCTACTATCCTCTGAGACCACCTACCTCCAACACACGCACATCCCCACTGAGGAGGTGGGAGTGGGTCAGAAGAGAATAAGTAACATTAGTCTCCTGCCTTCGTCTAGCCTCATTCCCCAATTTTCCCACTGATGTACCCCTACAGGGACACTCTCATGGTATCCATGAAAGTCTGGGAGGAAAGAGCCCAATTAGTCTGTAGCCTGCTGGTTTTAGCCTAAAAATTCATAGGATTTCTGTGTTTGATACCATCTGTATTGGTTTCAAAATATTAATAATATAACTCCTTTCCTCTTAAATTCTGAAATAAAATTGGTGCTCCAGGAACATGTGCCATGTTTATTCTCTCCAGTCTTGTCAACCTTGTCTACCTAGTTTGAGAAAAATGACTCTGGAATTCCCTACTCTTCTAATGTTGGATGAGGAAGAGGCCACTATATTCCCAAAGGAGTAGGGTTGGGGACATAGTGTTTGTGTCCTGGTCTTTTTTAACTGCTACCAATTTGCTGTAGAACTTTTTCTTACCTTCCCAATTAGAAACAAAGAGAAAGAAAGAAGAAGAAAGAAAGAAAGAAAGAAAGAAAGAAAGAAAGAAAGAAAGAAAGAAAAGGAAAAAAGACAAGGAAAAGGAAAGAGCTGTCTGGATATTTCTTACTTTTTATGGTGAAGTGGAAGGTCTCCTGGCGTATGTGGCAAAAAACAACACAAGAACTCCCTTTTCTTAAAAGATAGAGGGAAGTGGCATCAGAAGTCCCTTTGTGCAAACATTAGTAAATCCAAGATGGCGGCCACTTGACTAAACAAGCAGAAAGGGCAGCAGCCTCCCGAAAAGGCAGAAGCAAGGGATTTAGAATTAGGCAGAGAGATTCCGATTATGGCTCTCCTTAGCACCTGTGTGACTTTGGGCATGTCACTAAACCTTTCTGTATCTCCATTTCCTTATCTGTAAAATGGTTAAACTTGAATCAGGGTTGTGGTGAGGATTTAATGAAGCTATACGTGTGAAGTTCCTAGCACAGTATCTGGAAAGTAGTTGGACTGCAGTAAATACCATTTCTCTTAGTCTTCATCTGGGAAGAGAAATATTAAAAGGCCTATGCCAGATCTGACCTCAGCTCTGTTACTAATTAGCTGTGTGAACTTGGGCAAGTTGCCTAACTCTTTTGGGCATCTTTTCTCTGAAGTCTGAAATGAGAGGGTCAGGTTAGATGATCCCCAGTCCCCTCCAGCTCTGAAGGTATGTTCCCAATATTTGTCTTTTGGAGGCAGCCTTGAACACATATGCGCCCAATGGCAGGATTTTAGAGAGCAACACCCGGTGTCCTTGGGGCTTTTAAACCAGTGATGGGAAGAAAACAATAGTTCTCATCCATGTACTTGCCTTCTGGCCACACATCTGGGCCCAAACCCTCTCTGTGGCTTAGGTATTCCAGGCCTCCTGGGATCATGCTATGCCTCCCATAAGCTCATGGTGCCAATGAACCAATGTCAGTACCCAGATTCAGGGAGACAGAAAGGGATTAAATGTTTCTGAACTGGAAATTCAGCATCAGTCCAGGCTCAGAGTGGACAAGGAGGAGCTGTTTTGTCAAGTTAACGGAGGGCGCAGAGCTCGTCTGAGGAACAAGAGCTGTGTTATTTGGATACTCTGCAATTGCCTTGTTAAGCTTGGGAAGGAGGGAGGATTTCCGGTTTGGAGAAAATGCAACACTGTCCAAAGACTGTGAGGTTTGCCAAGGACACTTGGACAATGAAGTGCTGCAGGTGCAATGAAGTCATGGTTCAGGCAAGGGGTGACCTTGAAAAATTAATCAGAAATGCTGGACATGACAAATCAGGCTTGTGAGTGCCATGAAGGAGAAGTGAGGTCCGGGCTCAACCAGTTAAGCAAGCACAGGAAGCTCTTCTTCTCGTTTTCTGCGGTGACAGGCCTCTGGTGCCTTAGTTTCTCCTCAGGTCAGGTGTGTGAAGTGACAGGAGCTCAGGGGGGCAGTGAGACCAGAACTCAAGGAACTAATGCAGGTCCCTAGACCAGCGCCTCTTGCCTCACCCTCGCTCTCTGTACCTCTGCTGTGGGCCATCAGTGGAAGGCTTCCTTTCAATCTCCAATCATCTGTCAGCTTCTCTTATTTTGCTATTTTATGTTATGTTTTATGTTTTCTTCTTCCCTATTTCTCAAAGCTTGAAGAACACAGAAAGGACATAAGCAAATCTAATGTGGCTACAATTAGGATGAACCAGAGCCATTCTTTCAAGCTGGACCTGAATCTACAACACACCCACTTCAAATATCCTAGGGCTTTTTCCCCTATTTACTTTTGGAGGTCTCCTTCAGTCCGTGAATTCTCATTTGGCCTGGTGGGGCTCCAAAATGCTGGAGTACAGTTGAGGGAAACTCAGTCACATTTGTGTGGGGTGGGGTTACAGAAGAAACAAAAGTATGGGGGAGCATTTAGTCAACGATGTTCAGGAATGTGGCCAAAGGGCCTGGAGATAAAGCCAGAGAGAGGCTGGTCTGTAGGCTTCACGCAGAAGCCAGCCTGGTGTCTCACCTTTCCCGAGCGTGGATCCTTTCGGTTATGTTATCTAGAGAAAGACGGGCCACCCAGGGAGGCTGGGTGGGGCTGAGTCTGCTCTTGGCATCTGGAGCTTTGTATAAGAGGCAGACTCCCAAACTACGCAGATCACTCCTCCCCCTCAGGCCTCTCAGGTCCCAAGGCCTTGGCAAGTTTGAAGCAAATGAACAAATTATTCCATCTTCTGTGGGATCATTGGAACTAAACTGACGTGTGAATCTTTCCTTTTCAAAGTTTTAGGAATAGACAGCGAGATACAAGGGGAGTGTGCCCTTTGGAGGGAAAGAAATGGAAGTAGGAATGAGATAGAATAGTAGGAGTCAGGTGATCGAAAGCAAGCACATATCCTGAGTAAGAAAGTGGTTCTTCCTTTCTTGAAATTCTGGGTAGAGGATAAAGTTAAAAAAAGAAAGAAAGAAAGAAAGAAAGAAAGAAAGAAAGAAAGAGAAAGAAAGAAAAGAAAGAAAGAAAAGAAAGAAAAGAAAAGAAAAGAAAAGAAAACAAAGAAAAGAAAAAGGAAGAAAAAGTGTTTTCATGCCCCAGGAATACTTGCGAGTCCAGATCACGGGCTGGTCTATTTCAGCCTCCCCAGCTTGGGGCATCTACTGCTCACAGGTTCCACTTTCTTTCCAGAGGAAGGGACAAAGAGGAGCTCATAAATCGTTTCTCAACTGATGCTTTTAAAAGAGCTCTTTGAAAAAATTCCATAATGACCTAGTGTTCCTTAATCTACAGCTCTGTTCTGGGACTGGATTTTAAAACTATAAATGTGATTAGAGTTGTTTGGTTTGGCATTGAGCTCATTGGCAACCTTGGTTCTTCAGGTTTGTCTTTGAAATAACAGTTTTCCACATGAGGGTTGCTGGTTGGTTTCCAGGGAACCGGGTGGGAGGGGTCTTAGCACTTCTGGAGCAGCCCAGGGGAGACGGGTAGGGTGGATTTAACTATTCATGGAAGTTGGCCCTGCATTTCTTTGCTGCCATTTTTACTGTTCTTCTTTTACAGTTCAGCCTCCTGTGGAAATCTGTTGGTTGGTTTTCCTGAAACTTGTTTTGGTCTGAGTTCTCCTGGAAACCCCTGAGGGGCTTGCTGTCCTCAATCCCCACCAGGTTTCAGTTACCAGCGGCGATTTGGGGTGGGGGGAGATGGGGGTGGTGGTGATTGCCACCTTGTGGCCACACCTAGCAAGTCTCCCTCCTCCATTTAAATCCAGTCTACAAGGCCAACAGATTTGTTGTCTCCATCTCCTTCCCCCACCGTCCAGAAAGAAACCTGGAGAATGTGAGTAACTCTCTTGGGAACTATCTTTATCTAATGGCGAAATGAGAAAAGGCAAAACTATCTGGATCTTGGATCTAGGTAGTGGATCTGTTGCAGTCCTTGGGAGGTTTTGTTTGTAAACACCTGTGATTAGGATTGGGATTAAATCCTAATCCCACAGTTAAATTGCCTCTACGCAGGGTCCACTTCTTGCCCTGTCAGTCCCGCAAGAGAAAGTGGTGTGTGTAGGTCAGTGCTTTGTGAGTATGTTTACTGGATCCACCCTTGGGAAGAATATAAATTTGGAGGAACAAAATAAGCAGGAATCAGTGAGTAAAATTAAGAAGCTCTGAGTTTAGTTGATCATGGATCTTGAGGAGAGAACGGGGCACAGTGCCTCTTGAAGATGGAGAAAACTCGTGAGAAAATCACTCAATTTAATAAAAGCAATGTATACATCCTTTTATAGGAGGTTGGGTGAGCTAATCTTTGAAGTCTTTTTCTTGCTTTAAAAGTTTTTGAAATGAATTCAGGCAATGCTGCTGATACTATTTATAAAAATGTTCCATAGGGTAAAATGGTTGTAATGAAAGGAAGGTGGGTTTTGGTTTCCTCTGATACTTCCTAGCTTTCACCTGAATTGACCACATAAGGACTCCTAATCTTTTTTTGTGTGTCAGTTGCCTTGATGAGGTAGGCTGTCCTGGCACCAACCAGGCCCCCGAATCTGCTTTTATGGGCAAAATCAACTCAGCCTCTTACTTGACATTACCTTTTCTGCAATGTTTTTTTCCTGTGTGTGTGTGTGTGTGTGTGTGTTTATTTATGATCTCAGCCTTCCTTCCTTCCTTCTTTCCTTCCTTCCTTCCTTCCTTCCTTCCTTCCTTCCTTCCTTCCTTCCCTCCTTCCTTCCATCTCTCTTTCCCTAAAAAAGCAGGGCTTCTGGTGAATTTTCATTACTTAATTGCACTCTCTCATCAATGCCCATTTCTACTTAGATTTTCAGGTCGGAAACTTGCACTACTGACCATCAAAACTGAAAAGGAAGTTGGTGGCCATTCTAGTCTAAACTTTCATTCAACCCTCTGGGGGAGGGGGAACTGAGTCCCACACAGAGTGAGAAAACAATGATGTCACAGAGCCAATGACATGGCAGAGGAGGGGCCTATACCTTAGCCCTTGCTTCCTTTCCTAGTCATCCCTGGTGTGTTCCATTCTCTAGCTCAGTCTCTCAGTTTACACATTTCTTGAAAGGACTGTTTCTCTTTCTTCCTTGTCCTCCTTCTAGTAGGACAAGGGGTTTGGGTTTCTTTTGGAGCCCAAGCTAACCTGAGGAAGTGTCTATGTGGCCTCCACGTCCCAGCCCCGGGGTTTGTAAGCATAAAGTGTGATCAGCAGCCCAAGGGACTATCTTTTCTTGGGGATCAGAATCATGTTAGAGTGCAGCTATTTCCATTAGGAAACTGCCAGCTCTCAGGCTTTTCCAGCAACTGGTTGGGAAAGGAACACGATGCCCTAGTTTGGCTAACCATGGGGATTACAGATAACAAAAGTGGGACCTGCAGGACCATGAGGAGGGGCAAGGGGAGGGCAACTGGGGAGCTGGCTATGGATTTTGGTAGAGGCTGCAGGGATGGCTGCATCTGACATTTGATTTGGAGAAGTCAAAGGGTCATGGTTTCTAGAGCCTCCAGCTCTCTTGGGCTTAAAAATCAAATCATGGTAGTGAAGAGAGCACATCTCATAAAATGGGAGGTAGGCCCACAGTCGTCCCCTGTTCACCTTTGGATTTCCAGATGTAATTTCCTCTGGCACTTTTCATTTTTCCTCTCAGAGGCAGAATAATAAAAGAAGATGGAGAAAGGCTTCTCATGATGCCAACTCATTAGAGAGGTCATTCCTATTTCCCACAGGACCAAAAAAAAAAAAGGAGCAAAAAACAAAAACAACTCCCCATGAATTTCACCTCTTTCCAGGAATTGTCAGTCAAAGGAATGGCTGGCTGATCACATAACTTCTTCTGACTCTTAATAAGCCACCCACATTAAGGAGAGCCTGGCTGAAGACAGAAATGAGGCCTTCTGTTTGCAATTCAGAAAAAAGAAAAGAAAAGAAAATCCATGACAGATAGGACTAGAAACACGAAAATAGAGCCAGGTAAGATCTCTGTTTCCCATGGGACCATAATCTCAAATGGCAGATGCCCTGATTTCTACTATTGTCCTTTCCTCAATGTCTGACCCCAAAGGGTGAAAACTGCCACCATCTCCGAGACCCTTTCGCCCACAAAAGGAAGTTCTTCCGTTTGACCCAAGAGAGGGAGCAAGGACTTAGGACCCTCAGGGACACGGCCACTGTGCAGCCTGGGGCCAGGTGTGGACAATGCCTTGGGCTTGTGGGACCATGGGAGTCTAAGGGTAAGATGGACATAGGCACAGAATTGCTTGGGATGGGGAAGGAGACGACTGCTCTTAAAAGGTAATAGGACACTTCGCTGGTAAGAGTGTCAGGCAATGAGAATCTTTGGCCCATTGAAAAGGACTTGGGTGGTTGGGATGGGGTGAGGTTCATCTGCTTCCTCTCAAGGGGTGTGGATGGCAGAGCTCTCTTCCCGAGGCTTCTCCCAGGGGCTGCTGTGAGAATCTGACCATCCAAGGCGGTAACCTGAGCACGGATACCTGAATGCCAGGCAACTCCTAGGAGGGCAGGAAAAGAAGGCCTGTTGCCATAGCAATCTGATTCTGGGACCTGCCTTTCCATGGGTCTCTTTAAAATGTTTCTGACTTTCCCTCCTTAGTGGGAAGGGAGGCAAAGGTTAGGGATGACTGGGTGGGAGGGAGCGTGGAGACCGAGGCCCAGGCCCGGGACAGCAGAAACCGCAAGCAGCTATGTCCTGCTTCCTTGAACGCCCTTCAAATGTTGCAAAGCACAGTACTCTTACCCCCCACCCCTTGTCTCATATTATAAAATACAAACAAATGACAGAAAGGGTCAGTCGGCCCGGGCCACTGCTGCTCAGAACTGCAAGGACCGCCGTTTCCGCCCCGCTGGGAGACGGTGATTATAGGGGCGCATCTTCATCTCCACGAAAGGGATGGAGAACTCGTGGCCTTTCCAGTGGTACCAGTTGATCCCCTGGGAAGGAGAAAGACATGCACGTCAGGCCATTGCCTCCCTGCCAGAGGGAACACCCAACTTGAAAAAGGGAGAACACCTGGAGTGGGGAATCCAAGATGAGAATTTGGCCGTATTCTATTAACATGAAGCTTTGTGGTCCAGCTTCTGATAAGGTCGGAGGAATAGAGTCTCTTTCCAGCTCTTCTTTTTTAATTTTTAAAAATGTTGATTTATTCATTCATGAGAGACACAGAGAGAGAGGCACAGACATAGGCAGAGGGAGAAGCGGGCTCCCTGCGGGGAGCCCGATGCCGGACTCGATCCCAGGACCCCGGGATCACACCCTGAGCCGAAGGCAGATGCTCAACCACTGAGCCACCCAGTTGCCCCCCAGCTTTTCTTTTTAAGCATGCCTATGGCCTGAGTGTTCATCAGGACTGCACATCAGGTCACTTTCTTAACTGCCAGCTTTATGTTTTTGGCTGTCAGGGGTTGCACGCACCAGTTATTCGTGTTGAAGTTCAAAATCCCCATAGTCTACGGGCATTTTGTGGAGAATGATTGTGTTTGACTGCTCACAACTGATGGGAGACTCGGGTGGTATCTACCTGTGGTGACCAGCCATTCAGTTGGCTCAGGACTGAGGGGTTTCCCTGGCTCCTGGCCCTTGGTGCCCAAAATGGGAAAGTCTCAGTCGGTCCAGTTGGTCACCCTATCACCCAGCCCAGCCTGTGGACTTGTGGTCTCTAATGGGGAATTACAATCCAGTTTATCTGATCTCTCCTTCCGTGGGACCATTCTTTAGAGAAAGTTGAGCCTGGGAAGCTGACTCTAAAATTGATAAACTCTCCATGGGATCGTTTAGGTGAGGAAATGGAATGTACTGGCGGTCAAGGGCTTCTCTGGGTGAGTTCTATCTAGCTCCTGAGTCCAGATGCCTTTCTTTCCCTCCTCGGCATCTGCTTTGTCCTGTCCTTATCCCAGGGCCTACATTACTCATGATAGTCCTTTCTTAAGACTTAGTATTTTTTTTTTTACAAAGGGAAATGTAAGACTCACTTGTGCACTGAACACATAAAGCTAAGGGATGGTGGGTTCCATAGGTCTGGGTCATTCATAACAGTGGCGAGCTTCACGTACCTGACTGTGCCTGGACTCTCCATATTTCCCATTGAGGTTGGTCCGGTGGCAGTTCTTGTACCACCAGGCCCCCTTGTAAGACATGGCGCAGTTGGTAACAGCAACATCATTGTCTCTGTCCTCTGTGGAGAAAGGGCGCCCCTGATGATAGCTGAGGGAGTCCCCTGTAAAAAAGGGATGCTTCCGTGAGGCCATCTGATTTGTTAGTCTTTTTTTTTTTTTTTACTCTATGCATTTTATGGGCTACAGGGGAGGGGCCGCCTCCATGTCACCACTCATAATTTCTTCAGCCACTCCAGGCTGGGGCCCTGGGGGTCCTGCGGGTGGCTGGGCACATCGGGCATGTTCCCATCATCTCGGATAGTTGTAGGGCATGGCCTGGTTGATCATGGTGGCATATTTGGTGAAGGGACTGAGGGTGGGCAGAGTCACGGCGAGGCCCCCAATGGTGAAGGGTGCGACCAGCACCGGCTCTTTGGTCCAGGCATCCTTGAGGAAGGCGTTGAGTCCTGGAGGGGCGGGCAAGGAGGGTCACTGTCCCGGCCATCTTGGTCTCTGTGGTGGCGGCAACCTGATTTGTTAATCTTTTGTCAGGATTCTCTGGATGTTTGGCCCACTCCCAACAAACCTACCCTCTAGTTAAGGAACTTTCCATTTACTTCTCCCATTTCCACCTGTTCCCTCAGCCAGACTGTATGGAACTCTAACTCCACCTTATCCCCTGGATCAGCTCTTCGATGCTGCTCTCTGCAACTCATTTCCTCATCCCTCTGACCTTCTGCTCCGAGCTCTGTCCACTCAGTCCACCTTACCTTCCCTATCTGTTGCCTCTGGGCCTGCACTGGGCACCAGCATTCATGATCCTTTTATTTCCAGAGGAGACAGTGATGAGACATGGCACCGTGAGTCAATCTGGGTTACCACCATGCATCTATGGCCTGGCCTTCTCCATGGTTTATTTGGCCTGGTCAACCCTCACCCAAAACCTCCCATTCAGAACTTGATGGCACATGTAAAAAGGGACCTCAGCAAGCTAGAGTTCCTGTCCATAGGAGAAAACATCATGAGAAAATCCTAATCATGTCAGCTCATGCTATTGAATGAACATTATTATAGATGCTTCTGAGGTTACTTTAAGCCAGAAGAGACCACAGTATTGGGTCATATGAGTCCACATTCATGGTGGCCACTTAATGGCCCCACTGCTTCCCACCACAGCTTAACTGTGAGGGGATGATCTTTATTCTGTGAGGAAACCTGATCCCCTCAGGTCAGTTGGATTGCTAACTCAACATATCATGTCTCTGTCCCATCCTTTTCATCTTCTCTTCCCAGGTTCCAAGGATTCCGGTTTTGTGTCCATTGAGAGCTAATCCCAGTACCTGACACTCATTCTTTCCCATTTCTTTCAGATCCAGAAGAAGGCAGGAAAGATTTCTTATTTTTTTCATATAATATATATATATATTAATATATATATTAGCATCTTTACCTCCTCTAATCCTAAATAATATTCATAGCCTTGATCTTTAAAACTTTTTTTGGATTAATCCGTTACTTTCTTTATATCAGTTTGACTCTGTTACCTCTACCCATCTCACATCTTCTCATCTCCCGCTTATCCTTCTGTATTCTAGAATTTCCTCTCAAATTGCCCTGGAATAATTCTCTCCAGCTTCCATTCTGATGTTGCCTGCTACTGCCTTGGATAGATCTTGACGTTAGTCTTTATCTCCTTCCAAAATCTGGCTTCCCTTCTCATTTCTGCTTCATATCCATATTCAGTACATTGTCTAAGTCTTGGTTTTTCTCTCTCAAGCCACCATTCAGATTTATACCCTTCTCTTAATCCCTCACATTAGGATAACCTCCTGTTATCTCCTATCAGGATTAACGCAGCATCTGCCAGCCGATCTCTGCTCTTCATTCAGATTTACTTTATCCAGTGTATGGCTGTCACATTAGTATCCTCAAACCCTAAAGACTCAGGACCTACCATGGTTCCCCACTGCTCACCATAGTAAGACCGCTCCCTTGGTTTCAAGGCCCTTCAGGGTCTAGCTCCACCCTACTCCACCAATCTTCTTTCTGTTTCTTCTGAACTCACATCCTGCCTTAGGGAACCAAGCCGTTCACGCCTGCCTTCCCTCCACAAAAATTGCTCCTTTCATGACTTCTCATCCAGGGTTTGCCTTCCCTCACCATTGGGATCCCAGCCAGATGTTGCTCCTTCCAAGGCCAATGAATACCCGGTAAGGTGGAAATGAGTACCATTTCTTTTGTGGTTCTTTTTAAAAATAGCTGTTTAGTTCTTACAGAGGCCAAGGCCAAGTCTTATGCTTCTTTTGAGTCCCTGTAACTTGTACAATGAACTTCTAAGGGTTGTTCAACAACATCTTATTTCTAACTTGATTTGGAGTTTTCAGTTCTAATCCAGTTAGAGTCCTGATTAGAGACTTAGATATTTGCAGCTTTGAGGAATGGGGACAGGAGAAAGGGCTGAACTTGATTTAGAGGCCATGGGATGGATTGTTACCATTAAGGCCAAATGGTACTCATTTCCACCTTACTGGGCATTCATTGGCCTAGGAAGTTAAGATAAAAGCCAGAGGAATTGGGTGATGCTAAATGTCGGAAAGAAAGGATGGGCTCTTCCCCACTGGAGACCTTCTGGTCTAGAAAAAAGTAACCATTGGGTAGAGCTGCCCAGAGGAAGGAGCAACCTACGTAAGCCCAGGTTTTCACTTTCTGAGGAAGATGAACTGAACATTTCAAGGGAGGAATCAGACTGTAATTAATTCATGATGACAGGCCAATTTGCTCATAGGATTTCCATTTGCCTATGAGACATGAAAGTAGGATGCAGTCCCATAGTCCTGCCCTCCACTGGGCCTGGGAGCAAGATGGAGCTGCGGTAAAGGCAATAGTGGTTGGACCTATAGGGGGCAGAGAGAAGCAGCCTGGAGCAGGTGAGGAGGGGGAGGAAGGTAGGACATGGTAGCAAGGGGCAAGGCTTGCTTTTCTTCCTGTGGGAAGAATAAAAACTGCTTTTCTACAGGCACAATTCCAATCTTAGGGAATGGATTGTATCAGGTTTTTTAAAAAAATGATTCGTCTGACATGTTGTTTAATATACTCCATTTCAGTGGCTCTTTTTATGTCCAAAGTGTGGTAAATTGGAACTTTCGTTGAGGGCACTCCGGGCAGATCTGACCCACTGCTGTTGGGAATAATCTCCGATTTGAACAATAACAAAGTGTGTCTTTTTACAGAGTAAGAATACCTGGCTGAGAAGAGAAATACTTGAACAGATGCAGTAATTCGAAGGGCAACACCATGATAATCTTCCTAATTCCAGAAAGCATAAAAACGCTGCTAAAATTATACATTAGCATTTAGCCCCAAAATTAGGGTTAATGAAAGGACCAATAAGTCCATGTACCAAACAGTAGAATGTTCGGCAAAACAGGCTTTATGAAATGTGCTATAATAGAACCCAGGAAACAGATTGGCAAAGCCTAAGAAGCAGACTGGACATTACATTCTGATAAAACTACTAATGCAACAGAGCTTATAGAGACGGTTGTTCTACTTAGTAGAAATGTCATAAAAATCTATACAGGAAACGTGACCATGTTTCTGGTTCTTGTGGAGGAATGAGAAGAAATGTGGCCAGTGAGGGTCATTCTAGCTCTCTGACTTGCCTTTGACCAAGGGGTTGCTTTCTGACTGCCGAGGGGAGGGGTCCTCTCAGAGTATGGAGGAGTCTGCTTTATTTCCATTAGTTGCAAGATGGTTTCCTAGATGTCATCGCAGGGGGAGATTTCTAGCCAGACAGTAGATGATTATGCTGTCGTTGGATAAGAGCCCATATTGATTAATCTAGACAAGAAAAATAATCTTTTGCCCTCACACTGCACTTTTTTTTTTTTGAACTTTAAAAGTACTTTCATTGCATTGATCGCATTTTTGTCCTGACTACTCTGTGAAGTGGGGCAGGCATCATTATCATGATTTTTCCAGACGAGGAAACTGACATCCTGAGGAATTGGTTTCGGGTCACCGGGGTGGGTAAGGGACAGCCCGAACCAGCGCCGGTGGTTCCCAGCCCTCCACCCGCGCCCTGAGGCTGGCAGGGGATTCACCTGCTGGGTGGGCGCAGCCACTTCCCTGGGGCAGCTCAGGCCTAGACTGTGGCAGAGGGTGGTACCTAGACTGCAGGTGCCCCCAGCCAGGGGTCTGCTCAGGGGCCAGGGTACCTGCAGTGCCATTGTAGCCTCCTAGACGCAGCTTGTACAGGCTTCTAGCATCCTCCACGGAGAACTTGTCGTAGTAGGCGAAGGCAGCCTCCTGGCCGTCCCGCATGTCCACGCGCAGCTCGTAGCGGCCCTGGGATGTGATCCTGTGTATGTTGTCCAGCCCTGTGGGGAAGAGCCGAGGATGCAGGTGGATGGGAGGGAGGCGGGACCGTGGCCTTGTCCTGGATGTTATGGAGGAGGAAGGGGAGGCGGATTGCTTTTGCCCTCAGCCTATCTCAGGCCGTTTATCAGACAGACCTTGCCAGACTCAGAAATTCCTCCTGCAAAAAGACAAGCCCTGGTCTGCTGATGGGTTTCTGCCGCAGGTCAGCTCGGGGTCCTAACAGCCAGTCTTGACTCAGGAATAGACAAGCCTTGAGCCTCAGGATTCCCGGCCCTGTCCCTTCCCACCTTCCACTCCGAACCATGGTGTTGGCTGAAAATGACAAGAGGCATTACGTGGGCATGCAGCCTTTGGTGTGGGTGGTAGGAGGCCAGAGGTAGAAACACTGATCAGAGGAGTTCAGGACTGGTGCTAGGAGCGCGGGAGAGCCAGGCATCCTAGCATCATCGCCGTTTGCAGATAGGCTGCAAAGGGTCTTCTGTTCGTCTTGCATTACACAGCCTCACCCTTTCTCAGCCTCCAGCCTTCCTGGGGTTCCTATAGCCAAGTCAGGGGATGTTGCCATTTGTCTAATCTACCTGCTGCAGCTTGCATTGCCCCCTCTGCACTGGTCTTCTGGGTGGTTATATTCACCCATCTGCTTCTCTTTGGGCTCTAAGCTTCCAAGGGCCTTGGTCTAATAAATCCTCATAAGGTGCAAACCTCTGTGAGCCCACATCCTCCTCGGTGATGTTTTCTCCTATCTATTCCGTCGTTCTGTTGTCCGCTTGCCCTGGCTGGCTGTACTCCGGGACTTTCTGATTTTGACCTACCTGTCCAGACTTTGAACCACTCACCTTGCCTTGCTGGTGATCTCTGATCTCCTCCCGATTTCTATCTGCCTACTGAACCGAGGTCCTCTTGCTTTGCTGTCATACCTGATATCTATCAGAGTAGCCCCATGATGAGAATAAAAGAATCGTGGAGATGAAAGGGAATTTAGAGATTACTTAGGCTAATCTCTTTGTGGAAAAAGAAGTAATATTATTAGCCAAGGGCCACCTGGGTCTTTCTGTTTCCCTATCCTGTTTGAGATTTAAAGCTTCACATTGATTATAAATTGAAGGCTGTTTGCTGTTTGCTGGGTTGCTGACCCAAAACCTACCCTAGATTTGTGCTTGTGTGGATGTAGTGAATCCTGAGGGTGCCTGTCCAGATGCCCATAATAGATGGTGGGCATATGCCCCAGCAGCTACATGTGTTGGCTACTAACAGCTCACGGCTGCCTTCTTTGTAGATAATTGCCCTTGACCAAATAGGAGCCACTTCCCCTTGGAAGCTACCTTCTCCTTCCCCTGTGCCTTGAAGCAGACCTTTCTTTATTAATGCCTGGTATAGGGGGTACAAAAGGCCAGCCCCCTGTCCTGGTGGGGACCAACTCTGAGGAGCAGTTCATGATCCAGAGTTTCCCTGAGGATCATACTGAAGATCATCTCTTACCAAAACCACATTTTTGCACATTTTTCTTTGCTCTATCTAGCTTCCTCCATTCCCCTGCTCCTGAGAACACTCCCTGAATAAATCTCTTGATTTATTTATTTATTGATTGTCTCTGGCTCTGCTTCTGGGGAACTTAGGATACAAACCATGGGTCATAGTTACCCTCAACCTGAGTATTGCTGCCCTACTACAGATCACCAGGCCATGCCTCTGTTTAAGAGTCCTCACTGGCTCCCCATTACCTATGACATGATGTCAAGACTTCTTTTCCTGGCTTTAGGTACCATAATGTGCCTTCATTCAACCCACCCACCCTCATTTTCTTATTTCCCTGACCTGCACCTTTCCTCTGGTTGGATGGTTTCTTTACTATCCCATTTACACATGTCAGAACAATCCCCGCTTTCCCTCTTTTCCTGTCCCCTTCCCTCCTGCATTCTCCTGGCTCATTGCCCAGTGCCTCCTCCAAAGCTGACCTCTCCCCTCTCTGAGTATCTGTGCCTTCTCATTGGTAGTTCATAGATTGGTCCAGTGTTTCTCAGTGTGGGGTGGCATCTCTCATGATCTGAGAAATATTTTGGGAATAGGACTAACAAACCTTAAACATATTGGGAGAAAGGTGTTCTCCAAATTCTCTTTCTTAATAGTTGAAGGAGAAATCTTAACTTGCATCCTAACCCTGACTCCCCGTCTCAGCTTGGTTCTAGTACTTTGTGGTGAACACCCAACACTTGCTAACTTTCATTTGTACCACCTACAGCAACATCAAGCTTGGAGTCCCCGGATTCAACTGTTGTTTGGGATGCCTGGGTGGCTCAGTGGTTGAGCGTCTGCCCTTGGATCAGGTCATGATCCCCGGGTCCTGGGATTGAGTTCTGCAACAGGCTCACCACAGGGAGCCTGCTTTTCCCTCTGCCTATATCTCTGCCTCTCTCTGCGTGTCTCATGAATAAATAAATAAATAAAGTCTTTTAAAAATACCTGTCATTTATTAATATGAATATTGTTTTCTCTTCATTGTATTAATTTTTAAGGCTCCCTTTTGTTTTGGCACAAAATAATTAGGTTTCCATTTTGGGAAATGCTATAAAGTTTCTTTCACAAAACAGTAGATTTAATTAAATAAAGCAAGCGATATAGAGAAAATTTAAGTGCACGGTAGTTTAGCTAACTTCACAGATAATGGAAAAATCATGGTAGTGGTGCATCATGGCTGAGGTCTGGGGACAAGCCCTGTCTGCCGGTTTGTGCACACTGTACTTGTCTCTCAAGCTGTATGCAAACTCCTAGAAGGTAAAAGTACTTCCTATTCATATTGTCTCTCAATGTTCTTACACTGCAGTTTTATTACCTACGTCAGTCAATGCAGATCTGGGCACCTAATAGATACTCGATAAATTCTTAACCTTGACTGGTGCCTACACTTTGAGTACCTACCATCTCAGGCACTATAACAGGCAATGGGATTAGAAGATGACTAAAATGTGGTCCCACTCCTGAAAGAAGTTTACATAGTATAGTCAAGAGAGACAGAGAGAAAAATGGATACTGTGCCATTTCTCCCACAGGCAAAGGGTGAGAACATTGGGCAGGATAGGTTCTATGGAAAAAGAGGAGTTTAGTTGGGTCTTTGAATATCCACAGATGGGCACCCAGGTGTACAGGACAGGGAGATGGTGGGCTGGTAGGTATTCTTTGCAGCGGAAGCATCAGTGATTCTGAATGTTTGGAGTTTGGTGTTGGTGTGTGAATGGGGGTGAGGTGAGAGGAGTGAGGTACTTGGTGGTGGGGAGCAGGCTCCAGGGGTAGATTAGAGAGGGCCTTGGAGCTCTGCTAAGGTGTTCGGCTTTCACCTGGTGGTGATTAGGAGTCACTGAAAGGGTTTACAAATGAGGTTAACCACTGTTCAGATTTTGGGTGTGAGGAAGATGGCCATGTGGACAATGGAGCAGTCCTGGAGGCCAGGAGATCAGATAGGGAACTGTCGTGTGAGCATCCAGCAGAAAGACAGTGAGGCCCAGGTGACATGGTGACAGGGACATAGAGAGGAGACCACAAAAACGGAACCCGGTTATTCACCTGTCCCCCTGCCTCCCTATATGGAAACCTAACCAAGAGGGAGACGCAGGTAATCTATATACTGCTTTCCAGGATTGGCACCTCTGCCACCTGCCTGGGCGGGGTGTGTATTCACCTTCTCACCCCAGTTCAGTTCTCAGTGTGTACCTCCTGCTTGTGTCAGACCTCTAGGAGATAGCAGGACACCTCCAAGGCTGTTTTCATTTTTCTCTTCCCTTGTCAAGTCAGGTAACAACATTCCTCCAGGAAGCTGGGGCAGGGTCACTGCCTCCTTTCTCTCCTGAGCTGCAGGCTGGCTGGGGGTCCTCGGTTTCTGAGAAGTGACAGGCCAGCTGGCTGTAGCCTGCTCCCCCCTCCCAGCCCCCACCAGGCAGCTCACTTCCTCTGTCAAGACCCATCAGCATAAGAGACTATTAATGAGGATGGGAAGAGACAGAGCAAAGAGGAAAACACCACAAGAAGATAAAAACAGATCAATAGTGGAGCCAAACAGAGCAAGAGGTACTGAAAGCAATTCACGAGCTGTCAAGTTCTCAACAGACTCGGTGTTTCTGATCATCCGAGATGGACACAGAAAGGAGAGAGATGGACAAAAAGCCAGAGCAGGGTTCCAAGGGGAAGCACAAAGGAGGATTACCCAGCCAAAACTCATCCTCCAGGTTCCCGAAGCCAACACGGTACTCAGCCCATTTCCGGAAAAAGTCAGTTTGGCCATTCTGTCGTCTCTGGAACACCTGTGAGGGAGAAAGGAGCAGAAATAAAGTGATGCTAAAGAAAATAAAATCTCATGAGTAAAACCGCTGTAACCGAGTTTTCGATCTGCCATGACAAAGATGCTCAGATAAGGAACATTGCAGCACAGAGCCCGGTATCCACACGGCCGTTTTCATAGGAGATGCTCAGAGCTCTTCTCTTGAAGTGCATCATTCTTGATGAATAGGCCAGGGTGCGATGTTGACACTAATTTGCACCCCTGCAATGTAGGAAGGATCCAGGATACGTGTCAAGCCCCCAAATAGTCAAGGGGAAATCGGCTAGACTCTCAAATAATCTTTTTTTGTAGCACAGAGTGCAATAGAAAGCATTTCTCACCAAAAGCACAGGACTAACTTCAAAATCAGCTAGTAACTGTCATCATCCTATTGCAGGCAAAGCAACTACATATCATTCACTTTCTGAGCTGTTTAGGTGCTAATTTCATCTAACCTCCAATGCATCAGCCTCGGCTTCAATTTCCAATTATGCTTTAAGAAGGAGGCACAAATATGTCAGAAACATAGAAGAAAATGTCTACCAAGAGTAGCTTATGAGCACATCCACCATTTAGCTCCATTAAAAATCTATCCATTTTGCACCAAGAAAAAATCCAGTGCTGTGTGTTAGGAGTGCCAGAGGGGGATCCACAGGAGGGCAGTGGGGCTGCATGCATGGAGGAACTCAGCTAATGCTGGGCTGCTTTAGGGTCAAGTTGTGGGAACTTTCCTGTACGCATAGTGGGCTGCACTGCTCAGTGGGGCCATTGTGAAGCTGTCCTTTCTCTTCTCTTGGTATTGCCCTATTAGACGTGGAAGGAGAGTCTTCTCTCTTTCCCTGATCACTGGTGCATCTTGAAGGCTGTGGCAGCTCTGGGGAAGAACCAAGGAGGCCAGGGAAGATGGGGGCAGGGGTGGCCTTTGTAACTAGAGATGGCTATCCGTGCTCTGCCCCTTATCTGCTCCCCCATATGCAGTCCTCCCATAGACCTCTCCACTGGGGCTTACTTCTTCCTGTAGAGGACCCCTCTCCTACAGCGAATCCACCCCCTCTACTTCTTTACTATTGCTGCAGCCTTCAGCAGGCAAGACCTCTGAGCTTTTCTGAGCCACTACTCCCTTTCCCCGGCACCCTGCTGCATTAACTATTCTTGCAGAAGGAACAAAAGGGGCCCCTTCATTGGGCCAGGCCACTGCTGCCTCTATATGCTTAATCCTTACAGTGCTTGGCCACATCTCTGACTGGGTTGCTGAACAAAGGCCCAGAAGCAATGAAGAGCCCAAACATGGACAGATAGGGGATGGAGGAGGACTGGCCAGAGGAAGGTGAGATTTGGATCCATAAGCATTGAGCCACATGGATTAGACACCAAGGATGTTTGTATGCATGGAGAATAGCCATATATACTTACAATCCATCCACCCCCATCCGTGGTCATGTCGCAGTACACCTGTAACTTCCGGCTTAGCTCTCCATTGAGAAAAATGGTGTAAACCCCACTCAGAGTGTCTCCATTCATCAAATGCTGGGCACAGTCTTGAGGATGAGGAAACACTCGGCCCCCTGCATAGGAAAAGAGGCAATTTCCAGAAAGGATCCATTGTCCTACCATGTGTAATGACTCCTTGGATTGGGGAAGATTATAGAGAACCTTGTGGTACTTCATTAAGAGCTGTAAGGAATCTTCACTGGATCTCAAGCAGTGCTTGGGAACCTTGCATCGTCCTACATTCCCCATCTCTGATGTTGGATTTATCAAACAATATACAGTTTTACTCTATCTGAGGACCAAAGATCTGGGCTCACAGTTTGGCTCCTTCTCTTACCTATTTGTTTAGCTTTAGGTAAATGTCGTGACTTCCCTGGGTATCAGTTTTCTTATCAGTAAAATGGGGCTAGTAAAAATATCCCCCAACACACTTTCACCCTTGGTGAAATGCAGCTAGTAGGGTTACTCAGATGATGATTACAGATGCATGGGCCATAATAGATGACTGTAGGGCCCACCTTTCTTTCTTTCTTTCTTTCTTTCTTTCTTTCTTTCTTTCTTTCAATACTTTATTTATTTATTTATTTATTTATTTATTTATTTATTTATTTATGGAGAGAAAGTGTGTGCATGACCAGGGAGGAGCGGAGGGAGAGGGAGAGAGAATCTCAAGCAGACTCCATGCTGAGTGTGGAGCCCAACACACGACTTGATTTCACAATCCCAATATCATGACCTGAACTGAAATCAAGAGTTGGATACCCAACCAACTGAGCCACCCAGGTGCCCCAGTATGCCCCCCCCCTTTCAAAAGGATGACAGATATTAAACAAAAACCTTCTGTCATCCTCACAGCAGCATGAAGGAATACCTAAACAAGTTCAGAGTTAGCCAGATGATGGATCTCTACTCCTTGCACAAAATAATTTCCTGATTGGACTAAACAATCAAATGGCCATGTCTTACACAGTTCAGTTTAAGTTTAAGGAAAGGGCAGGGGAAATAAATTGCTGCTCATCTTTCAGAGAGAACAGCTCAATTTGTAGAACAATATCTAATTAGCTAAAAGAGAAGCTTAAATCATGTATCTTGAAGAGCTTAGCTTCGGGGCAAATTTTAATGCTTAGCAGGCAAGCCAAGAAGCAGAGATCCCACTGGAGGAAATTTCTGGACTGCAGGAGTGGAAAGAGCGAGTAAAAGGCAGAGCTTGCCATGTAAAGAAAAGCGGTGTGGGTGCTCTGTAGATATAATGATGTTCAGGGTCAATGAAATGCGGTTGATGTGGTTTCACATCCTTGAACTGCTGCAGTTTCGAAGAGGCTAGGTAGGGATCTCGTGTGTCAGTCACTACAGTGTCCCCTAGTGGTAGCACTGGTGCACTACAGGTGTGCCAGAGGGCCACTGACGGAGATCGAGTCCACTGATGGAGAGGGGGATCAGAGCCAAGGGGCCAGCATAATGCCACACAGGGAAGGCGATGTAACATCCTCACTGAACACCCTGATCATCTAGGGTTCTTGTCACAGATCATCTGTGAAGCATCCTGTGTTAGGAAGAGGTCGTCAGGGTTCAGTAGATCTGTTAACTCCAAGCACTGGGACTGTTCAACGTGCTGCCATTCCATGGTCAAGGCTTGCTCCCACGTAAGGTAGCTTAGAACAAGGGCACTGCCTATTTCAGGTGTGTTTGCACCAGGGAGTAACAATACATTCCTGTAGAACTTGTACTTGGACAAGGTGTGTTTTAGTTTTATGTAATTCTTGCAAGAAACTTGGAGAGAAAGGCAGATTGTTACAGATCAGATTATTATTTTGCAAACAAGGAAACTGCACTCAGCAAGATCGCACAACTTCCACAAGTCACCTGAATTCAAGTTGTGAGACCACAAGTTAAGTGCCACTTGCACCTGACTGAACAAGGAATGTAACATGCATACAGTTTGCAGGAGCTACATCTATCCATACAGTAAAGGATTAATTGATGTCTTTTTTTATCTGACAAGCATATGAAACTGCAAAGGTTAAAGTTACCTCAAAAAGTTCTATGTTCAGGTTAAATATCTTTATCCCCCAAACTGATTTTCTGAAATAGCTGCAGAAAATCTCTAAGCTTTCATCTGCAGGACATCCTAGAGCCTGATGGAGTTCTTGATCTCATGTGTTCCTAGAGGTTACAATTATGTTTCAGGGAACAGGTGCAAGTGAGCTCCTATCTCTCCCCCTGTTACTTTTGGGACACTGTGATCATGTCCTGGATCCCAGGCCTTTCTCCACTTGGTCTCTGCAGCAACCTACCTATTTACCTTCCTTTCTCCGTTCTTCTCTTGTTGCTTGATTTTCTCATTTTATAAGATCAGCACAAAATATTCTTGGGCTTCAGCTCACTCCTACCTTATTCATTAAATAGCCCTTTTCTTCTTAATTAATTTATCTCCTTTAAAGGCGCCAGAACTCCCATCCACCCCCCGCCAATATCCAATGTCTTCCTCCAAACCTCAAATGATGACCTTGTATAAATACCCATATGAAACCAAACCAAACTTCAGAATGGTAAGTAAATGATGTTTTATAGGTTTCTTCATCCTGATGATGTAGATTACTTAATATTAAGTTATTGAGACTTTAAAAAGTTCAAGCACATTAGTTGCCTTAAATGTAGACCTACCAAAAACAAATATAGTAATTGAGATGACTTGCCTGGAGAAATTTTTAAATATCTGAAAGAGTATTAGACAAAAAAAGGGGATTCATGGTTTTTAGTTAGAAAATGGGAATAAAATCAATGTAAAAAAAAAGGTGTCAAAGGTGTCAAAAGTTTGTATGAGATGAAACTCCCAGACTGCACCGTGAGAGAGGAAGGGCTGTGTTTTCATCCTGCTGGGCCCCCACACTGGGCTGGTTGGTGGAGATGCTTACCAAATGCGTTCAGGGCTGACACATAGTTGCTGGGTGCACTTGTCTTACCTTTGACAAATTGCAAGGCCACCTGATTGTTTCTAGATTTGATTTAGTCTGTGGCATTAATGGAAAGACAATCCACAAGCATTTTGCCTGAGCGGAATATCAGGAGCAGTGACTGGGATTTTAATATCCTGGGCACTTGGAGAAGACACATCTACAATAAAATCACTCCTCTCCACCCCTCTCTGGTCCTCAGTATTGCCAGAGTTTGGCCTGACAGCACTAGTCCTTAATCAAATCATTATTCCTTTTCACCAGATGAGAGGAGGCAGAGACTCATAAACTGTTCCCACACAGGGACTTTATTAAAATTCAGATTCCGGGGTTCTGTGGCAGATGAACAGAATGTTGAGGGGGTGGTTGGCAGGGAATCGGTGTCTTACTAGATCTCCTCAGATGAATCTGAAGAGCAGCTGGATTTGAACCCCACTCTTTCTCTGGTACATTTTCCTCTTCTCATAGAAGTCAAGAGGTGGAATTGGTAAGCTAGACTACGCCCCCGATGCCCCTGGAGGTTTGCTTTCTCTTCCTAGGTCCTATGCTTTAGTGACTAGACTGAATGTCTTGGTCTCTCTATCTCTCCCTCCCTCCCCTCTTTCCTTCTCTTCTTTCCCTTTCTCCCTTTCCTCTCCTATCTTTCCCAGTAGGTATGTTTTTTTTTTAAAATATTTATCTATTTATCAGAAAGAGAGAGAGACCATGAGTGAGCATGGGGGGGAGGGGCAGAGGGAGAGAAGAGAGAGAATCTTAAGCAGACACCCCCCCAAACACAGAGCCTGACACAATGCTTGATCTCATGACCACAAGATTCTGACCTGAGCAGAAATCAAGAGTCAGACACTTAACTGACGGAGCCACCTATGTGCCCCCCAGTAGGTATGTCTTGGGTGAGCTGGTCCCAAGATTTAGAGTGGGTGCCATGGGAAAGAGAGGGAATAAGAGATCCTGTTTATCCTTGAGTTTAAGCCTTGTTTTCTCATTAAATTCCGTTTTGAGGGCTGTTAGACCTTGGCTTAGTTAATTATAAAGAACACACTGATTCCTGCTTTTCTGTGTTCCTTGTGTATATACTATGATTTCATACATTCTTAGGAGATTATCATGACAGATTTTAGGCATCTCTAGCTCTCTGGATATCATGCCATCTAATATAACCCTAATAGAGATCATTCTAATAATTCTTCCCAAGGCAGAAGTTTTAGGACCAAGAACAAAACTGGAAGGCTTTTATTTCCTTTGATATAATAACTGGGGCCTGGCCTGACAAAGGCCTTTCCTTTTTTTTTTTTTTTTTTATAAAGCACAAGCTGTGGTGATTACCAAGTTAAGAGGAAAGCAATGCCAAGTGATTGGTACACTGAAATGTCTCATGGTTAAGTGTTTCTGGATGTAATTGTGAGATCAACAGGACTGGGGCACTCACCGGAAGAATTGCTCAGAAATTGGTTTGTGTTGGGCATCCGAAGGCTGAGTGCTGAGTGGGGTGAAGTGAGCTACGTGACACACAGCACAATCAGATAACCCCCAGCTGGCTAGGAGTAAAGGAAGAGACTTTTCTGTCCCTGCCTTATTCCTTACTAGTTTTGCGTTTCTTGGATGCAGTCTTTAAAATGGTCAGAGTTGATGGTTTTGGAGAGCATCTGCCTATTGCCCACTCTTACAATCAGGACCAAAGTCATAATGCCAGCATGTCTCTTGAGGACAGCCTCAGCAGATCTCCATGTAACTGTAGAGGAAAGTGTGCTGTTCCACTGAAGTAGAGGTGACTGCCTCTGGTCACCAGCACTTAATTGTTCTTCCCAAAAGTGTGTTTCTAGTTGGCAGGTTTGTGGAGGGCAGTCTGAGGTCATGGACAGGGCAAAGTTACTTCTTCAGCCCATATGGGCTGTGAAAACCTACCACTGTAGCCTCTTTAATAGCATCTTCTAATTCATTTACTTGTTTATTCTTTTATGTATTCATTCAACAAACATATAGGGGGCATCTGTTGGGTTCTAAATACTGGGATAAGAGATAGAAATATAAAAAATAAAAGGATGCAGTCCCATCTTTCAGGTTGTTCACACTTTACTCTGGTGGGAGAAACAGACAATTATACTCCCAAGTTCTAAGTG